GGGAGGGAGGGGAGGAAATAGGGTCCCCCAGTGAAGACCTGGAGGAAAGGGACCAGAAGGGAAAAGGATGGGGGAAGAAAGGGGGGGAGGGGCCTTCGGATAAACCCATGAAATTGCCCATCAGAAGAGCGTGGGACCACAGCTTTCCACCAGTTCCCCGGGGTCTTGGCCCATCCAGGGAGCCCCCCAGCCCCCTGAAGAACTAGAGACTAGAGGCCAGTGTGGCTGGCTCTCCCGCACACAGGGTCTGTGGTTCTCACCCATTCTCAGCGGGCTGCCCACCCCACAAAGGAGAGGACCCTGTGGGGGTCCGGCCTGCGTGGGCGCTAGTGCGCAGCCCTCATGCGTGGGGAGGACAGGACCGGGGCGGCGGCCGGCGGTACTGACCCCCGCCCCCCCCCCGACCCCCGCACGCAGCCCACGCACCTGTACTCCCCGACCACGGTGCTCAAATACCAGAGGGGCAACTGCTTCGACTTCAGCACCCTGCTCTGCTCCATGCTCATCGGCGCCGGCTACGACGCCTACTGCGTCAACGGCTACGGCTCCCAGGACCTGTGCTTCATGGACCTGACCCGGGAGGTGTGCCCGCTCACCATGAAGTCCAAGACGGTAGGCCGGGCTCGAGGGGTGCTCCGCTTAAGCAGCGTGTCCCAGCTCCTCCCCCTGCCCCGGCCATAGGACCACGGAGTTCGGATTTCAAACCACCAGTGATTTCTCTGACCTCAGCTGCTTTTGAAAAAATTTGTTTTATTGATTTCAGAGAGGAAGGGAGAGGGAGAGAGAGATAGAAACATCAGTGATGAGAGAGAATCATTGATCGACTGCCTCCTGCAGACCCCCTACTGGGGATCGAGCCCACAACCCAGGCATGTGTCCTGACTGGGAATCGAACCATGACCTCCTGGTTCATAGGTCGATGCTCAACCTCTGACCACTCTGGCTGGGCTGACCTCAGTTTCTTTCTTTAAAAAAATATATATATATTTAAATATTTAAATATATTTTATTGATTTTTTACAGAGAGGAAGGGAGAGGGATGGAGAGTTAGAAACATCGATGAAAGAGAAACATCAATCAGCTGCCTCCTGTACACCCCCCACTGGGGATGTGCCCACAGCCAAGGTACATGCCCTTGACCAGACTTGAACCTGGGACCCTTCAGTCTGCAGGCCGACACTCTATCCACTGAGCCAAACCGGCCAGGGCTGACCTCAGTTTCTAAACACACACACAGCCCAGGTCCCCACAGTGGCTGTCCCTCTCCCCTTGTAACAGTTTCAGCTTCTGTGTTCCCCAGGAGGTAAATTTTGTGAATGCCACGTGGCTTATTTCAAATTCCTCCACATTTACCTTGCATATTCGATAAAAGTCCATCCAGGCACCTGGCCGGCGTGGCTCGGTGGTTGAGCGTTGGCCTAAGAACCAGGAGGTCACGGTTCGATTCTCGGTCAGGACCCATGCCCAGGTTGTGGGCTCAATCCCCAGTAGGGGGCGTGCAGGAGGCAGCCGATTCATGATTCTCTCTCATCATTGATGTTTCTATCTCTCTCTCTCCTGCTCCCTTCCCCTCTCTGAAATCAATAAAAATATATATATTTTTAAAAGCCCATCCAGCTGTTTTCAGCTAAGGAGAAAACAGATAAATGGGCATTTTGCCCTCCCGTCCCCAGGTTAAAAAAAAAAAAAAAGGCCCCTTTTTAACAGCAAGAAAAAAAAAGTCACCCGCCCTTGAGCAGGTGGCGGTTGTTTTTATGTCTGTAAACTGAGATGCCAGAATGACCCCCGGCTGCTGTGCACACAAGAAACGCTCTTCAGTGGATTTCACTTTAGGAACCACGAAAGCATCGCTTTGCCTTTGGGGAGTAGCCGCACTACAGGCAGAGAGTGCTTTTCATGACCTGGGTTGACACCAAAACTCGGTGATCAGTGTCAGCCCCGTGGATGTCTGCAGCTCGGGGACCCGGGCCTGGGCACCCAGCCTGAGACGCGTGCACCTGTGCGACACCCGGGCGAGCACCTGGCGGCCTCGCTCTCTCAGGCTCACCTCCTCAAGGAAGATGGAGGCTCCCATCACTGCTTTTGGCTCCAAAGGCCTGTGAGCTCCCACCCGGGCCTCTTAGCTGAGCCAACATGTTGATGATTAAAATGTTACCAATGCTGACACAGGCAGAGAGCATCCCAGCGTACGAGCCACTCGTGCCCACGGACTTGGCCGTGCCTTGGGACAGCGCGGCATGGGCGGCCTTCTCATTTGATTTTACACGTGGCCAGAGCGGCACGGCTCATAAGTGGAGACCCGGGGGCCGAGGCTCGGTCTGTCCGGCTCTAAACCAGGGAGGGTCGCGGTTTCTCCCTCCTAACTTCCACTACCCCACCGCACCCCACGTCTGCCGCCTCTGCAGGGTTCTCTCCCGGATATTTTTTCTTGCCACTGATATCTCTCTCTCTCTCTCTCTCTCTCTCTCTCTCTCTTTTTAAAAACACACACACACACACACACGCACACACACACACACACAGCAAACTCTTACTTTATGTCAAGATATGAAACCCTTGCCCGGCCAGCATGGCTCAGTGGTTGAGCATTCCCGTCAGGGCACAGGCCTGGGTTGTGGGCTTGATCCCCAGTAGGGGGCGTGCAGGAGGCAGTTGAACAATGATTCTTATCATTGATGTTTCTCTCCCTCCCTCTCTTCCTCTCTAAAATAATAAAATAAAATAACGATATGAAACTCTCCAATGGCAAAGTCTGGAAAGTCTGACTCCTGACAGTGTGCCCCGCTCTCCAGATCACAGCTCACGTGGGCATCAAGGCGGGGGGGGGGGCGCGGGGGGCAGCTGTGGAGGAGAGAAAACCACATCTCCCGAGTGCCAGGACTGATGGGCACCTCCCATGGCATTTCCCTGTCTTGTCAGAAGACTCCTGGGAGAAGATTCTGTTATTCCCATTCCAATTTACAGAAGAGCCCGAGGTTAGGGACACGGAAGGTCACTCAGCTGCAAGCGAGAGAGCTCGCAGGCTCCAGGCGCAGCTGTGATCGGTCTCCTGGTCCCATGGGTGGTGGTTCACGGCTGCTGATGTTCTTCTCTTGTTCGGTGACAGAAAGTCCAGAGGAAGCAAGTGGCGCCACCTAAGAAGTATGCTGTCAAACCCCCCAGGGACCTGACCAGCAAGTACGAGCAGGACCAGGAGAGGAAGAAGCAGGAAAAGATCAAAGCTGAGGAGGAGAAGCGGCTGAAGGAGGAAGAGGAGCGCCTCCAGGTGGGTCCACGGTCCTCGGCCTTCAACCCCTGAGCTTAGCTCTCAAGGAGGCGTTTCTAGGAACGGGAAAGACACAGGTCATAGAAGAGATATGTGTATGGACACCCAGGTCCAAATCCCCTCCTCTACCTCTCACCACCTCGGCCTGGCCATTGGGAATCTCCCATTGGTGGTCAGCCAACTTCTGGTGATAGATTTCTCATGGCAGAGCTCTGCTGCCTGGGCAGTTCTGGTGTCTGCCTCATTCCAGACTCTCTCACTAAAGACTCACCTACATAGACTCTCCCATCCATCCTCAACCATCTATCCATCATCCATCTATTCATCCATCATC